GCTTCAACTAGAGCTTGACGAGGTGATAAGCGAGAGGATGATGGCGGGCTTTTGATAGATATAGGCTGGCTTAGAGTACCGCGGGGCACGCCCCGAGACCGCTTCGGTGGGGTAGCAACAATAGCTTGGACGCGTCTTTTTGGTGGCATGCTTGCAATCAAGAAATTGGTAAGATAAGAAGATATATATAATAAATTGACACGTATAGTATTAGAGATAGAGGTAAGAGTTAACGTTACTATAGATTAGTAGCCTACGTAAAGGAGTTCATAGTTATTCTTCTTTTTTTACGCACGGGCGTATCAAGCTCATCAAGCTCTATCAAGCTCAGCTTGATGAGCTTGACGAGCTTGATACAGCTTGATATAGCTTGATGAGCTTGGCTTGACTTAGCTTGACCGTTGAGTCAATCCAGCTTAATTGATGAGCTTGACTCAGCTTGATTGTTGACATCTCTGCACACCACGCTTTGAAAAAGCATGTCTTTGGGAGATTGCCAAGAAATCCAGGCTGGTAAATAGAGTATTGTGGTATTCACTAGCTAAGGGGGCGGAAGTGATAAGTATAGGGCTTGATAGCAGTCTTGTGTACCGGTATCATGTTAAACGGTGGTGGCAGACGGCAGTGGCAGACGGTGGCAGAGAGTAGCGACAGGCAGGAGTAATAGACCGTGGTGGTGGTGTTAGTCTGTAGTTGTCATATGCACAGGTTGTAGTTTTGTAGTATCAGTATATTGATAGTGATATTCTTCCAGCCTCCTTGAAGAGAAAAGACGCATATTTACTTGATTGTATGACTTTGTTTGATAGTGATGGCAACCAGGCTGTAGTAGTCAGTGGAAGTAGGCAATGGCAGTGGTAGATTGGCAGTGGTGGTCAGCAGTAGTATGATTATGCGGCGGTAGAAAGTGACGGCAGTGACTGTTGTAGTACTAGTAGTACTCCCACACCGATATCTAGCATCGCCAACTCGCCTTACACCCAACAGTCCCTCTCGTTTTCCTATCTTCTTATCTTTTCCATATACACGTAAATACATAGTTCTCAGTCATAATCTATCAATCAACAAAGACACCCCAAAAGGCTCGAGTCTAGTGCCAGAAGTACTAGAAAAGAGACCACTTCTCATACTACAGCCCAAGAGGATGCTCGTGAGGTTGGTGTTGCTATATTTGCTAAGGAGATATAGTAGTTTGATACTGTAAACGCGTATAGGAGGAGGAGGAGGAGATAGTAGGTGGTGGTGGCTGTTACTAGCACGGGTTATAGACCTGTAGGATTTGATACTGTATTGATGGTAATAGGTTTCCGGCCTCCCTTGGGAGGAAGTTGGCATATTTACTGGTTATGATTGTCATGGGGCAGTGATGGTAGTGGCAGGCGGTAGTAGTAGTCGTGAGTGATAGTGATAGTCCATGAGAGTGCGCATTGGTGGCATCTGTGGTATTTGTGACAATCAGTGGTAGTATCTATCTATCTAACTCAACATCCCTACCCAAACCTCTTGTATGACACAGAAAAACAAAGTCCAAGGCTTACTTACAGTGGTGACACTACCCAACTTACCTATTCAAGTGTTGTGCCATTTTCTGGCTGTATACACTTCACTGTTTGAGTATCCACTACTCGTATTGATAGGCTATGCCTCTGAAAATCCAGTGGCTAGATCCATACCGCAGTCCAATCCAGGCAGTAGCAGTACACAGCGGTCATGTGCAGAGGCGGTAAGCACATAGTAGTGATAGGGGCTGCATAGGTAATAGTGTGGTAGGCTAAAGCGCACTAGCGCAAGGGCATCATGCAATGGGCTCGCGCCAAGAGGTGATTGGATTAGAGCTTAATTCAGCGTTCGATTCTCTTGCATGATGTGCATGCTATAATCCCAACACTAAATGTAGAAACAAAGAGAATTTTTAAGATTGAGCATTTTTTATTTTATCCAGTTCAGAAATCAGTACATAATACATGTCAGAGCGCCGATTATCAAATGACTGATTAATGCGCCGCCTCCCGCCCACATCTATGGTCTAAACAAATGCAAACACGGCTTGATTCAAGTACATCACCTGTCATTCCATGTCAAAACAAACAAAACAGATGGTTATTTCTGGGCGCTTTGATTTTGGTCTTGTTCCTCAGCCACATCCTCCTCATCTTTGAACGGGTCGTCGCCGATTTCAACGGCATCGCCCGTCTCAGGGGGCTCGTCGTGATACTCGTCCCACGTTGTTCGCAGACTAATGTCGTCATCGTCTTCTCGTAGTCGCTCGGCAGCTTCCAGCGCTGCTGGGTCATCTGCATACTCGTTTTCCAAGTCGTCGATACTCACGCGTCGGATGCCGGCGCGCTCTTCGGCTTCTAGCTGGGCGGCGCGCGCCTTGGTCTTGCGGTATACAAGCCAGCCCGTGGTGACACCTGCAATAAGACCAATGATGATGGACATGTAGGAGAGGGCCTTTGTCTTTGGGTCCATCTTGCCACCGCTCTCGGCAATCTTTTCCAACTGGCTGCCAATGAAGATGTGGAGCATGAGTTTAGGGGATACAATGGCAGTGGCGAGGGCATACGAGGCCCAGTGCACCGTGGGAAAGGTGGCAACGGCACCGTTGGAGATGGAGTATGGCAGTGGGCATAGGCGGTACATGACGAGGAGTTTGATGCCATCGTGCTTGAGGGTCAGGGAGAGAGCGGCGAAGCGCGTGTCGTTTGCGACAAGGCGATGGACCATGGATTTGAGGAGGGTGCGTGAAAGGAGAAAGGATGCCGTGCTGCCGGCAATCGTGGCCGTGGCTGCTATGAACCATCTGTGTTGTGGTCAGCTTACGGTTGGCCGCCTCGTGCGGGTGTTGGCCACCTACCCATTTGGAAAGCCGTAGACGAAGCCGGCAATGGTGAGGAGACTCGAGTACCCGATCAACGGGGGGAAGGAGACGACGAAGATCAGGGCCCAGAGTATGAGCCAGCCGGCGGTAATGTCTCTCCATTTCTTGGCCATTGGTAGCAGGGCGCCGAAGATGCGCTCATTGTACACTAAGAACAGGATGCCGCCGACTGCCAAGACGATGTTTCCGACAATAAGCAGCGCCTTCTGGAGGGGAGACAGCTTGTTGTACTGGTCCATGAGGCGGCGCGAGGCCTTGTCGTACTTTGTCATTGCGCGCTGGCGCCATGTGGTGCTGTGCTGGCTGTGATGCGAGGCGTTGCGCCTAAAGGTGGAGGACTGGGAGCGGCGGCTCCATATTGGGGTGTTGCCTGTTTCTTCGTCGTCGAGCGGCAGGGCAAGGGCGCGCACGTCGTAGTCGGTGGCCGGCATGGCTGCCTGGCGGGCGTGTATGGGGTGTCGTGATTAGGGAGCGGTGCGGACGTAACCGGAAGTAAGGCAGATGGGTGAAGGGACACGGACAAAGGCGCAGGCGACAATGGAAAGGGAAAAGTTAGCTGGTCCCGGGAGAAAGGGACCTTTGGGGCGTTGGCATTAGGTGTCAAGTGTGGAAAGGGTCGGGGGTTGTTGGTGTGAGATGCTAATGCTAGCTCTTGGTTTCATCGTCATGCCGGCGGACGAAGAATGATGCACCGCCGCAACCACCCTGCATTAGGCGGCTACGTGAGCGGTGCCAGTGCCGTGCTTCCAGGCGCCGGCACGTGTTTTGTTCTGCGCAGACAGACATGGCCGGGTTTCGGGCGGGCGGGCGGGCGGCGCAGCCAGAGAGCGGATGTGTGGATATATGTAGTATGTATGCGCTATGTATGTGGTATGTAAGTATGTGCATGCATGCATGGGCGCCATGGACCCATGGAACCGCCCATCCATCGCAATCGTGCACCGCGCCCCACGTGACCTTGTCCAGCCTCAGGGCCTGTGGCGCCCTACCCCCCCCCCCGAATCGGGCCCTGCTGCAAAAGATACATCATACTCGAGGCATATGTAGCAGTTTCGTCTCGCTCCCCAGCCCGCGCCATCACCGCGGTTCTCGATATCGCCCGCTCCATCGCCAGCGCGAAGCCTCTCCTGCTCTCTCTCTCTCTCTCTCTTCTCTTCCTCCTCCTCTTCTTCTCCCTCTCCCTCTCCCTCTCCCCTCTCCTCCCCCTCCCCCCTTCTCTCTCCCACGCCTCAGCTCTCCCCCCCGCGACATGTAGGATTGCTGCGAACCCCAGCGTGTATTGTAGATTGCCCCCGTATGTATGGTCAACTGCAAGCACGGAGCAAGCCTGCCCCCCCACCCCTACTTACGTAGCGGAGCCTAGTCCCTGGAGCTCCCGTCGGCGCTCGCGATCGCCTCTCCCCCCCCCCCCCCCCAGGCTTGCATCCTTCGACTCTGCCTCGTTCGGCGCACGCAGTGTGTGTGTCGTGCAGAGACAAGGCTGCGGGACAACATCTTGCCCTTCGGCTGCTGCTTCATTCCCTCTGACGCGCCGGTCGCTCCTCTGCCAATAACCGCAATACTTAATCAGCCCGGCGGCCTCCTGTCTCGACCTCCACATTCTAACCTCCTCCGTCCCACGCGCCACCTGCCCTCACCGCCGAATCTGCCACCGTCCTTGCCGTGTGCCCAACTAATCATCATGGTCGCAGACAATTTGTATGAAAAGGCCCTGCCTGTCCTGCAGGACGACGCCCTGGATGACGAGGACAAGACGGACAAGCTCGAGGAGCTCATGCGCAAGGAGACCAACCTCACTGGCAAGTCGCTCGAGAACATTGTCCTCGACTGTCTGTGGCGATACCGCGATGCTGGCAGCTCGTCCAGCTCTCCTCCCAGCCGCCATACTGTCATCCGCCGCCCATCTCCAGCTCCATGGCAGGCCAACCGCGCACCCACTCCGGTCAACAACTCGCCGCGCATGATCCACCCCCCTCCTGGCTTTGGAGTAGGCCCTCCCGGCTTTGCGCGCACAAAGTCATCGACAGCATCGCCCTTTACTTCGCCACGCCCCTCGCCGCGCCTTGCTTTTTCCACGCCCCATATCCCTCACAGCCCCAGCTTGAGCGCATACCAATTCAGCGACTGCGCGAGCCCCAACACGGAATCGTACGGTGACCTCGATACCCACTCTGTAGATTGGCTCGTCAATGAAGATGTTGGAGGCACCGAGACGACGCTCATGGGCGACGGCACGCTCAATGGCGCTGCGGCTGAATGGGTACAGCCACAAACCATGGACATGGGTCCATATGACATGCTCCGCTCCATCCTGCGGGACGACCGATCAGACGAGGAGCTTGAAAGGGTCCTCGAGGCCAATGGCTACGACCTCAGCGCTGCTCTGCTCGCACTCATGGGCCAGCAAATCGAGGCAGCACAGCTCCCGGCCACCCCTTCCGAGCACACTGGATACGTTATCGGAAAGTCCATGGCTCCAACATTCAGGCCCGCGACGCCAATTGGTCAGCAAAAGAGCAACATTGTGTGCAAGTACTTTCTATCCACTGGACATTGCGCCAGGGCGGATTGTCGTTTCAGTCACGATACTAGCAAGACTCTGTGCAAGTATGTAGATGCATCCGCCAAGCCACTTGATTCTAACCTTCATTCAGGTACTATCTCAACGGTAACTGCCTGGCTGGCGATACCTGTCTCTTCTCACATGATCCCTCTGCCCTCATGGCTCGTATGGCCGTCTCGGATGTCTCAACACCACCCCTGCCCAACTTCCAGATGACCGACTATGAATTCCCCTCTCTCAGCTACAACGGCTCTCCCATGGGCACGCCTTCAATATCAACCTCAGAAGCCACCTCCCTAGAACAGCTCTACGGTATTACAAGCGGTGGGCCTACACGTCCTCCACCTGGTCTCAGCCCCTATGTCAACTTCACCCCTGGAGCTGGTAGTCGTCCGCAGTCACGCACAGGCAGCCGTCAAGTATCTCGTGCAGCCACACCGTCTGTACTTGCAGTTGACGACAAGGATGCCTTCCCTACCCTGGGTACTGCCGCAGCTTCAAAGACCGGAAAGCGACATCACGGAAAGCGTGGGGGTCACAGCCACAACAAGGACAACCCAGGTCCGAACAACCTTGCAGACGTTGTCCGCATGTCGCCCTCCCCATCTCCCGCAATCCCGGTTCGAAAAGGCTTAAGACCGGCCAAGAGTTTTAATGGTTCACGTGAGAACAGTGCGGCTGCTCAGGCTATCCCTGCACCCCAGCACATTCCTTGGCTTGTGACTGGGGAGAAGGGTAATCAGGCATATCTCGATGCTCGCGCCGAAGCCTTCAAGCATGGCAGTTTGCGTAACAAGTTCCTGCAGAGGTAAGTCACTGCGAGAACTATTGGTCACCACATACTAATCAATATTAGTGCTGCTCAGGCGTGGAACCGAAGTGATTCGCGCGCGGCTAAAGCTCTTAGTCTTAGGGGGCAGAGTGAGAACAACCTAATGCGTGAAGCCCACCGTGAAGCCGCCCGTATTCTTTACGAGGAGCGCAACAAGGATAATGACGACTCGAAAGAGTTGTATGTTGATCTTCATGGTATGTTGTCATAAAAAAAAGACATAGAGTCATTATTGACATTCGCCAGGTCTGCATCCAGATGAATCAGTGTCGTATCTTGAGGGTATTCTGCTGAAGCACAGCTCATCATCTCGCCCAGTGTATGCCATTACTGGAACCGGCCACCACTCAAAGAACGGCAAGGACAAGGTTGGAAAGGCTATACGAGGTTTCCTCAACGAGTGGAGATATGCTTTCCGCGAGTTTTCCGTACCTGGTGACCGCAACAACGTCGGTGGCATTCTTGGTATCGACCCGAGTAGCTATGACAAGAGCGTTGCGGAGCGGGCAAAGGAGTCGGAATCGGATGCAGACAGTAAGAAGGACACAAAGATCCGTATCATGAAGAGAGAAGATGTGGTGGATGCACCGAAAGGGCCGAAGCAGGCTGCTTGATCTAACCGAGTGGGGGTGGGTGGCACTCAGTAGGTAGCATGAAATAAGAAAGAGTTTACTTCACTTGCAGTGCTGTCGTTGTCAGTGAGATGGTCTGATGTCGGAGTTGGTCGAAGCCACTGCGAGGAAGTCGCATCCGTGACGTACCTCCCTCTTCCATCTGACCCACCACAAAGCGCTAATCTTCTCACGCCTCGACGCCTCCAACCCACCCATTCCGCTCTCACCCCAAGATTCCGTCGGCCAGCCTCGCTGCATCACCATCCTCGCGACCTACCTTACCTGTTGCCTGCTCCAGGCATCTCGTCATGGCGCCTCGCCGGCCCAGCACAGCCAACGATGCAGGACCATCACGCATACCTTTTACATCAGCGGAAGCGCTACTTTGGGGGCCAGAGATGAAAAAGCAACATGCATACCTACTCACCGAGATGCGCGTGCTCCAGAAGCAACATGAAGGATACGACAGTCGGATACGGGCTACCGAAGATGTTGCAGATGCTGCCAAAGCTGCCACGGCACGAGTCCGTCATTTGGAACAGCAACTCGACGCTATCAAGGCAGAGGATGACGATAAAGCGTTTGAGAAATGGGCGTCTGGCGAGATGACACGATTGAGCATCTTCGTCGATACCAATAAGAATGTCAGGCAGAAGCAGATGGAACTCGACGCCGAGGTTTCGCGTATTTCAGAGACTCTGGACAGAGTTGTACGCGTTCCTGCAGATCTCAAGAGTCTTCTTCGGCGCCTAGATACTCTCGAACATGACCGAAGAGAAGATAAGCATCGGATCCAAAGTCTGGAAGAGGAGATCAATCGGCTTAAGTGTATGCGACCAAGTAACCATTCGAGCCTTTTCAACCCAAGAGCGAAGCCGAAGGCGAAGAAAGGTATTACAAAAAGTTCAACACCTACTCAAATCCTGGATGCTGAGGTATCCGATGCCACCACCGAGACTGATGAAGAGGAAATGTTACTTCAGCGCACAAACATACGCGATGAGGTACAAGTGCCTCAAAGTCTTGCGACGAACGAAAAGTAAGTACACAAAATATTGCTGCTATGGGATATGCCTGACAATCAGTTGCAGAAGCTCCAGTCCGCTTGTAACGTCTCCTACCAAAGGCAGTTCTATTATATCAGCTAGACAAAGGTTGTTGCAGAGACCCTCGATCCATGACTCAATGTTACCCCGGCCCGCGGAAGAGCAACCTACGCTTGCTGAAGACTCAGCTACTAACCTGCGTCGCGCTTCTCCTCCACCAACACAGCTTGTTGTCAGAGGGAGCCGGTGCAACGAGCCTGCACCTGCACCCGAGCCCGAGCCTCAGCCCGAGCCTGAGTCCGAAGTTACACCAGCAAATACAAGCAATGCTCCAACAAACGAAGCGCCGGCGACACAGATCGTGGAGAGGAAATGGCCCAGGAAGCGAAAGCAACCCGATCCTGAGCCTCAAACACAACGCCAGACGCGATCTCAAGCTAGGAGAAACCAAGCCAAAGAAACCGAAGTACCTATCACTACAGGAGCAGTTGCCGTCCCAGAACCCCAATCAGCGCCGAAAATTGAGCCAATATCCTCGCCGCGCAAGAAACTCAAGGTAACTCCTGTGGATCCACCTGCCAGAGGCAAGGCCAAATCCGGTGCAAAGAACCAGACTACTAGTAGAAATACCAAGAAGACGCAAAAACAACGTGCTGTAGAAGGGCCAGGCGAGCAAGAATCGACTACTCATACGCAACAGGTTTCTACAACTACCAAGAAAGTCACTGCTGCACCCAAGAAGAAAGCAAATCTCGCCCTGCCTCCGTCAACCGTCACAAACCCGAAAGTGCACAAGAGCCTGATTGTAAAACTACCCTGTTCACGAAAACCAGTACATGTCGGTATGGGTGATATCGGTGACTTGCAACCGAGTGCAGCAGCTCGCGGGAGAATGTCACCTCAAAAAGTAGCAGCAGGGCCGAGTTCGCCATTCAAGGTTCTTCGGAACCCTGTGAAATCCCGAAAGTAGTCCCAAGAACATCCAGGTGTTGGCTAGAGTAGGCATACTGGCAGATTCCCCAACGATGAGCCATTGCATAGATATTAGATTTGGGCACTTTCAGGACTTTCAGGCAGCCGATGAGCTTCCGTACGCGGTTTCATTCGTATACAGGAATGGGCTGGGCTAGACTACTCAAGTCTCCTTGAACTCATACAAACCCTCGCGATCCGCAACCGGTACTTCCATATTCGCCTCTTCGATATCCTTTCCGTCGACTTTGATTCCCGCACGCATAACATCACCAGTCTTTACTGGGCCTACACCTTTTGGCGTACCGGTAAGGACAATGTCACCCTTGTCCAGCGTCATGACCCTGCTGATATCGCTTAGCTGTCGGGGGATCCGGAAAAGCATCAATTCAGTGTTGTCAGACTGCTTGACCTCATTGTTGACAGAGAGCCAGAGATGGGCTTTCTGTGGGTCGGGGATGCGGTGCTTGGCAATGAAGTTGCTGATGGGCATAAAGGTGTCAAAGCCTTTTGCAATGGACCATGGGAGACCTTTCTTCTTGGCCTCATCTTGGACGTTTCGCGCCGTCATATCAATAGCGAGGATGTAGCCTAGAGGGAAAGGTCAATGGATGTTTTGTCAAATACCGTACGTCAGATATCAGCCCCAACGTATACAACATACCTTCGATAGCATCCATAGCTCCCTTTGTATCCTCTGGATGCAGATCCCGTATCGTCTTGCCCATGACAAGGCCCAGCTCAACCTCATAGTGCATATTCACGCCCCGAGGTCGCAGCACGGGCCCCGCCCCAGGAAGCAAAATGGACGACGGTGGCTTGAGAAAGAAAAACGGCTGCTTGGGCGTCGCGCTCGATAGCTCCTTGATGTGATCGGCATAGTTTCGCCCAATGCACATGACCTTTTGGAAAGCGTTAGTTGTGTTTCATATAATGTGCAACTGTGCCTCGATCTAATGGATTGGGCTTTCGTAAGAAATTCAGACTCGGGGAACAGGTAGAATCCAATGCCTCGTCTCTATTCTTCCACAGCATGGTCTTCCCAACGGGCTTCTCTTCAATCAAGCCCTATAACAATACTTCTTCCCAAACTTGGCTTCTACGCATATCCATCTATCTACCCACCTATCCAAAGCAAAACAAACAGACAAACGAACATGACACACGTACCTTGCGGCAATTCGCCCTAATAGCCTGTATACTCGCCATTTCCCCAAAGGAACAACAGTGCTAAGTATCCCGTAAACTTTCCTTTTCCCTTCTCTTTCGCTTTTACTTTTTGTTTTTTTTTGAAAGCAGCCAAGCTGGATTTTCGAAAAAGAAAGCGGGGGGAAAAGAAAAAGGCTCTAGAATGCGTGAATTGGGCTTCGCACAAAGAGAGAGAGAGAGAGAGAACGATGGAGAGATGGAGAGGTGTTTTTTTTTTCCAAACCGAACTTCGGCAAACTGCACCTCACGTCCGGCAATTGACGGAGTACCTAACGAATGCAGGGAATCGGCGAGATCCAAGGGTACGTAGTTAGATGTGTTTTAAAATCCACCAATCTAACTGGCTGGCTGGGTCGCTGAATCGATGGTCGAGTGTGTTGCACCGCGTGGAATGAACGTGTTCGTGTTCGTGTTTGTTTCCCCACTCGGAACGCGCCAAGTACCTACGTCCGTACTTACTTTAGCCACGAGCCGAACGTGGGGGTCGCGACGTCGGAACCGAGAGGAGGGGGGGTGTGATACGAGGGCGAGTGCAGCTGCTGGATCCTATTTTTGGCACTGCATTAGCAGGGTATTGTAGATGTAAAGGAGTGGTGTTGTGTTGTGAGGAAAACAGGGAAAAAGAAGAGGATGAGAAGAGGAGGGGAGGGGGGGGGGGGATATACGTACACAGACACGGAGAGATACGAGGTCAGATAGCATTTCCGCAATGCGCATTTGCGGTGCTGAAGCTGCGGATTGTTGGTCTGCCATTAGGTGCAGTTTGTCGCCTGTATGTATGCACGTATGTATGTGCGTATGTATGTATCACCGCGCGCGTCGCTTTTGCCGGTACAGTACGTTCGAATCGATGCGTGGGAGCTACGTAGCTGGCTGGGAAGGAATCTGTGTCGCGTGCCCCCCAAAAAACAAGACAACTATTCACTTCGCTTTTCTGCTGCGATTTCTCGTACCCGATGTATGTATGTATGTAAACAGAGTGGCAGGTAGCAGAGGACGCTGTATGTGTGAGGTTTACATGTGGGGGATATTGATTGACTTAGTTACGATACGCGCGCCCTGATTCCGCTTCTTCTTCTGCTGCTACTACTACTACCACCGCTGCCACCGCAACAGCAGAACCCAACAAAACAGCTACAGCCACAACTACAACACACGAAGTCTCGGATCCTGATTTGGCGCGCGCAAAAGATCTGGTCAAGTTGCATTTTGAAGTCAAGGAGGCGCAGAGGAGGGGCGAGTTGAGTCGCGGGCTGGAGGAGGCGAGGGCCATGGTGGAGAGGGCTGTTGGAGGGTGAAATATGGGAATTGGATGAGGAATTAAGAACTAGGAACATGTTCGACTTCGGAGGGTGGAGTGTAAGGGGGAGAGGCTGGTGGGGAACGTACACGTGGAGTATGAGGGGGGAAACACCGTTATTCTTTCCCCTTCTCGGTACGTCCACGTTGTGGAGGGGTCGATGCAATACAGTCTTCCCTGTCGAGGAATGCATGTCGAGCATGTATGACAGAAGCGGGGCCAAGAAGCGCCTGGGACCTGTAATTGGGTTTGCGAACCTCTCTTACGACAAATGACTATCAACACACGAGACGGGATGGAAAGATTTCATTCATCAATAGTCGTAGGAATGGTAATGTATGCCATAACGTCGGTATACAGATTAGGTCAAAGGTGCTCTTAGGTAGACTTGAAGTTCGCCGCCCTGATCCAAATACCAGTCTTCAAACTCGGTTCAGGGTCCCGCAGCCGCTAGCATTAGGTCAATGATAGGCTTGACATCCACACCTGCAGCCTTCTTTTGGGCCAGCAGCTTGAGAATGGGTCGACACTCCGGTGCTACTGCGAGTGTTGCTTTGACTAGCTTGATCTTTTCGCGCATGCGGATTTTGCTGGGCATAGTTAGTATATGCGTAGGGCGATATTATTGAGAATGCTCACGCAGTAGTTGCTACTGATGGAGCAGATTCAGCTGGAGGTACAGCTGGTGCCTCGGGATCGGCTGGGTTAGGTACGGTTGCCGTATCGATGGGTGGCACTGCAGCAGGTGCTTCTGTTCCTACATCGGATATGGGTGCTGCAGTAAGAGATCGCGCTGCAAGAGGTATTGTTGCAGAAGGTAATGGCCGGGGTACTGTTGGAGCGGGTACTAATTGGGGTATTGTTGCTGCAGGTACGAGGGATGGAGCTTGTTCTGTATTGGCAATTGATGCATCTGCTGGAACAGCTGGAGGAGGAGGTACAGGTTCTGTCATGGCTGGTTCTGTGGCGGGTACTTGTAAAGTGGGCTCGGCCTCCGGTAGAGGCTCTGACTCTGGAGCAGGCTCAGGTGCTGCCGTAGGCGCTTCAGGGGCAGGCTCGGGCACCGTTGGAGGCGCGCTTGAAGGTGGTTCGGGAGCAGTCTCAGGCGCTGGTGGAGGTGCTGCTGTAGATTCTTCAGGGACGGGCTCAGGCGCCGGTGGAGGCACTTCGGGAACAGGCTCAGGCGCCGGTAGAGGTGCTACTGGAGGAACTTCGGTTGCAGGCTCAGGTACAGGCACCGCAGGTGTAGGCGGGGGTACTACAGGAGTCTTTCCAATCAGTTCCACGATTGTTTCTCAAGGTGCAATTCAGTTACTGGGTCTGGAACTGGTTGAGGTGCGGCAGGAGAGGCCTCTTCGGGCACTGGGTCAGCAAGCGGCGCAACGGGCGGAGGAGGCGCTGATGCGGTTTCGAGCTGCTCGGGTGGAAGTGTGTTAGGGGCCGTAGCAATCGAGGCCATGTAAATGAGCCCGGGCTAAAGATGGACGAGAGGCGTTGAAGAGGAGGCCTCGGAGAAGCAATAGAAGTGGTACGTGATGTGGGGGAATGGGATGACGGCGGAGTTGAGTGGTGAGTGAAGTCGCATAGTAGAGGATGACACTGTTGATTGGAAGTTAGGAATGAAGCCATGACCCGGCCAGGCAAGTTTCTAGATGGCAGGAAGGATTAGATGATGCAGCAGGAACGAAAGACGCATCGGTTGAAGCACGCGAATGCTGGAATGAGCGTGCTGAACGACTGTGGAAGCAGATCATCATACAGCCTTTGTGAAGGAACACATGATCTGGGTTCTGCATGGCGCACTCTGCTATAACTGGATTTATCATCCCGAATCGTGGTTTGCATGTCGTAGTCAAGTTAATGCAGAGGGCAAGTCGTCAAGAGCTTAGCGTATCCGCCGTACCTGCATGAACGACTGACGTAATCCTGGCGATTGCCGCCAAGCCCGCGGATGGACCCATCTAAGCTTTGGCTCTCAGGCGCGTACGTCTCTCACCAACCTCACGGACTCCAGCCACTGTTCAAATCCACTACAATCACCAACAATGGCACTCAGTATCGACCAGAAGCGCCTCAAAGCGACCAAGTTCCCTCCCGAGTTCGATAAGAAGGTGGACATTGAGAAGGTCAATGTTGACCTGATGAAGAGGTGGATTGCCAATAAAATCACCAACATCCTCGGCGATGAAGACGACATAGTGGTCGAGACGTGCTACAATTTGGTTGAGCAAAGTCAATTCGTCAGTACCGCTTGGAGGATAACGCGACGCAAACAAGCACTAACTCGTGCCCAGCCCAAGATCAAGGAAATCCAGATCCAGCTCACAGGCTTTCTGGGCAAGGACACCGCATCGTTCTGCAAAGAACTATGGGACCTCATGCTGAGCGCCCAAGACAGTCCCATGGGCGTACCGCGCGAGCTTTTGGAGGCGAAAAAGGCCGAGTTGCAGCAGGAGCAGGTATGACATACTACGGGCTCGCGTCAAGCCTTACTGACACCGTCTCTAGCTTTCCAAAGCCGCTGCCGATGCGCGACGCGCCGAAGAACAGGCCCAGAATGCCATGATCGACTCGTTCCGCCACAGCGAACGCTCAGACCGCCCCGAACGCGGACGCGGTGGTGGAGGTGGGCGGTACCGCGGCAGTGACCGTAGAGGACGAGGCAGAGACTTTGACAGAGGATCTCGGCGCGACTCGAGATCACCACCGTATGTGCCATGTCGCTAAACATGCAATGCAGTTTCTGACATGTGATAGGAGAAGAAGGCCCTCGCCACCAACTCGCGAGCGCGATGTGTATATACCTGGAGGAGGCCGAGGCCGCGGACGTGGAGGTCGTCGCGATAGGTCTCGCGAGCGCCGTCGTTCTCCCTCTGGCAGTCGTTCTGCATCCCCACCATATCGTCGTGCACGTCGCTCACCATCGTCAGGACCATCGCGAAGTCCACCCCGGCGCCGAATCCGTCGTTCGCCGTCTTCTGATCGCTCTAGATCTCCGCCTCGCCGCACGCGACGCAGATCTCCCTCACGAAGCAACTCGCCACCTGCCAGACGGCAAGGAGCACGCAGGGATAGATCGTGGTCCCCTAATCATGACAGCAGGAGGCTACCCAGGCATACTTCACGATCCAGTACTCCCCGTGACAAATCGAGCTCACCAGCGCCCAGGCTCCGAACAAGGTCACCGTCACGTACCCCGCCACGCCGGCGACGCCGCTCTCCTTCACGGTCTGTTAGCCCTGTGCGTGAGCGACGACGTAGATACTCGACGTCGTCGGATGCTGATTCAAAAGACTCTCGCGCTGGTATCAAGAAGCGCAAACGCTCGCCTAGCTCGAGCAGGTCGCGCTCCCGCAGCAAGGCTGAACGAGGTAGGCGCCGTGTCACTCGCTCGCCGTCAGATTCGCCTGTCCGAAGGGAACGCAGTCCGAAGGAGTAGTTCAGCCTTGACAATTTTCAGCGCGTGTCACAGGACGCAGTAGCCTGGATCCGTACACGCAATCTTCATGGTCGAATCGAGTGACAGAACCTGGTCGTTTTTTTTTATTGCGACCAACTATAATACCTCACCGCCATATTATCCATGTCCTCGCCCATGCACCATTGAGGGTCTTAATTCTGTCTTCAAAAAAGAAAAGAGCGAGTAGAGCGTAATCATGTAGGGTGTATGCCAAGGGACCAGCTGTCCCCACGTTGATTGTAAACTGGGCATTCTCGTGTTGCGTGTAGTTATATAGCCAATTTCAGCCTTGCAGTCCCTGTTCTCTTTTTGCTTGCCTTGTGCCGTGATTGACCCAAAACGCGTCATCTATATTCCTAGAGCTTCTCATTATAGTAGTTGCTGTCGGGCTTCTTCGTTCCCTGAGCAGTGTTTCAGCGAATCTGACCACTCTTCTGTCTGTACAGTATGGTAGCACGGCTTTTGTGCGTGGACCATGACACAGAAGATTGAGGGTCGCATTGTTGTCTACTCAACCAGGTTCTGTCATTAATTGAGGGGTGTAACGCGGGTAGCAGTTGATGTCGACGAGTCGTGAGAAGTGGTACGGCTTGTCGTTTTCGTCACACCCCGGGGATCCAAATGAATCATCTCATCCTTTTCGGCGTTTGCACTGGGCTGCTACAACACTAATGTCGTCGAGTTTCCCTGAATCAGTCAGTCGGAGAGGCCGCATACATGTGGAATATTCAAATACGAACCTCCTTCAATCGACAAGCCCTCATCAATCGCCTTTTCCATATATGGGCTCTCAGCAAAAGGATCTTGAGCAATTTCCCTTGCAGCATTTACAAGTTGCTGCGCGACAAAGCGCATGCCGTCCGCATGTGTGAGTCCTTCCGCATCCTTTTCCTTGTCCTCGTTCCATCGTCCCAGACTGTCACACACGTTTTCGACAATCTCGTGTTCCCACAGGTTGTCCACGACGCCGTCAGTCATGGCGATTACCAGGTCGTCTTCCTGAATCGCCACACGGTCCATTGCGGCGTGGTCTATTGGCGTGTCGGGACTATTTGTACCGAGCTGCCGCGGACAATCGAACCAATGCCATTGTTCCTGAGTCTTGTATACGACTTCTTTGGTGGTCGGGCGTATGACGAGGATCTGGGAGTCGCCGAGCTGTGTTACGTAGAGAACGGGGTGGTTTGGAGTTTCGTTGTCGGCGCTGAGGAGCGCGCCGCATGTGGTTGTTGTGCCGTGCCACTGGTTGGGCTCCGATGTGGCTTGCTGGGTGAGTTTGTAGGCATTCTGAAGGTAGGCGACGGGCTCGGGCGGCGTGGTGGCGTTGTATGTTGCCGCCTCGACTTCAAGAGCCCAGAAGTGGGCGATGAGGCGCGACCAGAGTCTATCACACGCTGTGTGTTAGCAGCGATAATTCTCCCGTACCTGTGAGGTTGGTATTCTTTGCTAACTCACGCTGCATGCCCTTTCTCCCTCGTAGCCCACGCCCCTACACCGTCGTTTGCGGCAATAAAGCTCTCGCTGACTAGGACCGCATCATCCCCATTTGTAACACCTCTGATCATCTGCCCGTTCACTGTCGGTCGCCGGTCTCGACTCATGTTGTGCGTGCTTAGCGGCTCTGAGAAACTCGTGGAAGGCATCGATAGAAAAGGCGGCGGAAACGGTCTTGAAGGTCTCTTTGCGAAAAGCGCATATCCGGCCTCAAAGTAGAAAGGTGGTTTGGACTTTGGCGGCGCTGCGTTGTATGGGACAGGCGTAGTCGTTCCGGCGCCTGTTTGCCCTTTCGGTACGGCTTGCGCATACCATCTCGAGGGTATTTGGAGGGTCGTTGCTACTGGGAGGATGTGTGCTCGTCGTGGCGGTGCGGCGGTTCTCCAGACTTGTGATGCTGTATGCTGGAGGAGGGGTGGACTGCGGAGGCGAAAGGCAGGTGCGAGCATGCCAGCGGCTGCCTTGTTTTGTTCACAAGACGGGAGAGGGGACTTGGTTCAGGACTTTTTTTTGCGCCCTAGTAATGCGTTGAAGCTGAAACTACATCAACAGCCGCTATGCTCCAATGTTGCGGCATGTGGGGAAACCCGAGATTGTGGTTTGGGTTTCGGCATGGCCAGCCTTGGACCGCGAATGAGATGGGGGTTAGTAACATGACTCAGCATGGAAGGAGTTGGGCGTGGCCATGACATTGGGAGATGCGGTCTGTTGGTGGTTTGCTGATTTGCAGGCTTATTATGAGATTATGGTATTGCCCGAAAAAAGTTGGCTAGAATTGGTAAATATTCCAGGCTACATTTGAACGGGGTATGTAGTAAGGCCGCGTCCCACCAAAATCACGTCTTAGCGCCATGTGGACTAACCAGGCAAGCCTTGATTCGCGCGAGTTGATATCGCAGCATGCTGTGTACAGGAATGCTCTCAAAGTCCCATGGGTGCAAAGGCGTAAACCGAGGCATTCCTCCCTTCCTACTTAGCATCCTTGGTATCCCCCAGAAAACGCCTGCCGATGCATCCCACCGTGATCCATAGCGTATTGATGCGTGCTCCCACGGCCCATGGAAATCCTGCACTTGTTCATGCTCTCCTCTTGGCAAAGTTCTCCAAGTCGGCTCTCGTAGCGACTCCGAGCACGAACTTCCTGCTTGCATCCGTCACCACCGCAAACTCCTGCTTTCCGCTGCCGTCTACGCCCCCATTGAAGAAGTCCTCGAGCTCCTCAAGCGGTGTTTCTGTAGTGATGACCTTGTATCGCCTGCCGCGTCGCTGGAACTTGTGCATGGCCTCTTGGACGGGATCGCTGTCCTTGACTGTGCCTTCCTTGAGGAGCTGCTGGAGGCGCGGAATGCTGATGTAGCCCAGCAATGCCCGGTTTGCCTGCGAGATGACGGTGAGGTGTGTGTAGTCGCGCTCAAGGCCGGACATGAGAGCCCATGATATCGGGTCGCTTGGCTGGACGGAGAGCGCAGGCGGGGGGTCGAGGTCCTCTACTGTGGCCTGTGCAAAGGCAGTCAGCAAGACACCCACAAGAGAGCTGGTGAACAGCATACGCCGCGGTACTTGTTTGCCCACACTGCCTGGTAATCGCCGTTTGGCGCGCCATTCGCGGCGGCGGCGGTGGTGGTGCTTGCTTCCGCTGCCATGTTGCCGACTGCGTCGTGCGTGGATGCGGCGGGGATGCTGGATGCGCAACTTTGTGACCAAAGCCAGGGCTGCAGATCCTTGGGCCTGCAATTACATGACGCTAAGCATGCACGGAGCGGGCGTTAGCGGGTAAGGCTTTTGCAGTGTTCAGGGCGTGTGACAGAGGTTCTAGGCGGCTTGGGAGCACCAGCATAAGCCTGTGCCTGTACTCGCAGCCCGGTGCAGTCTGGATATCCAAGTGCAAGTGCAGTGCGCCGGCCTTGACTCGCGAGTGGCGTGCGCGGCTGCATCGAGGCCCAGCCGCAGGCGGTGGATAGGAGCATTTTATTCAGGTCACAAATGCAATCCATGCATCATTCCTTGTGCGAGTGTTTGGTTTTGCATTGGTTCATGCCCACACGTGATGGGCACTAGCGACAACCACAGGTCGCTCGCTCCCACCTCCAACACCATCCACGCCCCCCCAACACCGCCGGCGAACGCACATCTCGCAGACTCGTTGCAAACCACTCAAGCGGCCGGCCCCTGTGCTGGGCTAAAATTAAACGATACCAGGATAACACGATGGCTCCGACGACGCTCCCGCTGCCCCCCGCTCGATCGCTCCCCGTGAATCGCCCCGACGGATGACAATTGCGTGAAACACACGTCTGGTTCTTCATATTGGAGGCGCGCACAGCTAGGGCTGTCGAGTTTCCAGAGTGTGCAGACGGTCCAGGTGGCTGCCGAGTCATCGCTGGCCGCCAGGGCAGGAAGCAGCAGCTCTGCATATGCTCCCCGAAGCATACCTGGGCTGAAATGCGACAGCAATCATCGCCATCGCGCTCTGTGCCGCATTTTCCGTGGCCGTAGCGGATGGCTGAGATTAATCTGACATCCCTGCGAGTCGCTTGCCGTGGCCTATTCGAGCGTGCTCGTGCCGTCGAAAGAAAATCCAACTCGAGGCACAAGCGACATGATCCCAGGCCATCTTGAGGCGTCTGGGATAGAAATCCAGGGTGGAGTCGGAGTCGAAGCTGAAAGCAAGCGGGCAGTCTTCCTCCCGCGCTGCATCAGAAAGGCGGCAGATGGCTTATCGATAGCCAACGCGGGTACGGAATCCCAAGCCTTCGGACCGTGACAATCTGGGGCAGCCATCCGACCTGCGGACATGTATGCAGGGACGTGCAGAGCATGCCGACTTTCGTTTCGTTCTAAAAATGGTAAACCCATTTGCAGTAACGCCCTCCTAATCATCTTGCCTGGAACACCAGGTGTCCGTCCACATAACTAACAAAGTCACGACTGAGCCCAACTTCTCAACCAAGCCAAAAGTCTCTGTTTCACCCTAAGTACATACTTCAGTGTGTCAACATCAACCTTCTTTCGATTTTGCTCACCTGGCTTACAGATTAGCTCCACGAACCCCATAGCACTCAGTTCATGCTTTGCCTACCCATTCACAGGATCAATCACCAGCAAAATCTGATTTTCATGATGCAGTTGCCCTACCGTCTGGTTTCTCCACCACCAGCATGACGGAGGCACATTTTGAAAGAGACGGAACAAGTATTCTTGAAGCCATAGAGGATCCTCAACCCAGACACATAATATATATCCATCTCCTACAGAAGGATTGTGGTGTGTCGCAAAACATGCAGAAGTAGGTCGTGGATGAGGCGAACCACACGTGCACAGTGTAAACCAAAGAGGACTTAACGAATACCACAAGATCCACTGAGATATTGCCATCGGTGATTGACCGATCGCTCAATCCTGGAGCTTCATTCTCCTGCCTCATGGCTGCATCTGAAGGGACAGTTGCCATTCAGTCTTCGTTGGGAATTGCACAAGACTTTGGGGGGTCTTCTCTCATGATATCGTGTCCACATCGAAGTGTTCAGTGTTCCTAGGCGACTGCGCTCTCATAGAGACCATGTACTTGAGGTAAGCGTTATCAACGAGGTAAGCAGGCGAAGATTGCTTCATTTCAAAGAAGAGACAGAGGTCTTGGGTATAGCGATGACTAGAAGAGCCGTCTTGAGTACAGTGAGTACCCCCTCATGTTATCAGAGCAGATGTGTATTCAAACTGACAGTATTTAAGTTGTAGTCGAAATGCAAAGAATCCCTGACAAGCCTATGTTCAGCGAGCCCAAGACCCCGCAGCTCAGCGTTTCTCACGTGGTGCCACGGCTTTTCCCGCTCGATCACTACTGTCGTCATCAAGAACACCATTATCAATCAGTAAGAAGCATACAGTTTGCGCAACATCAGAAAGAGCTAGGAAAACCAGTCTCCGCAGGTATTTGTTCTGCCAACGACGCGCGGTGTTCCCAGAAGGGTTCCGGCACGTTACAGGGGCCTGGACCAACAGGCTAATCGACTGTCCATTGCAGCTGAGCAAGGACACAAGACACCAATCGAGGGACCTGTATCGATGGAGAAGGCTCGTCGCATTCGAATCACCTGCGAGCCTTGTCATTGGGCTGTGACTGTGCCGTGTCTGGCTGAAGACGCAGCAGCTCAGTCCTCCAGCACGGACCCAACTCATCATCCCGCCAAACCTTGGAAGGCGGCGATGGCAGCAAGAGCAAACCCCACAACACAGCGAACGCGCCATACACTCACTGCAACGTTACCAAAACAAGGTCGCTGCATAAAGGCGCGGCAGTGAACCACCTCGAAAATTTTCCAATCCCGTAGCGCGCCTGTAGCGCGTAGACCGACGGACGTCACGTGCTGCGCCTGGCGTCGCTGGAAAGTTGAAGAGTTGCGTCTCCGATCTCTTCTCTCTCGCCCTCCCCACATCACCACAAATACGACCCAGCCACCTCACCCACCGCGCACCATCAATCCGCGCTGCCAGCCATCAACCACGCGGTCTTACTATCGCACCCGACACGTCGGCAACGTAAATCGCGATTCTGCGCACTACTTACGCGTCGACACGACATCGTACAAGCGTGAGGACGACTCGAACAATGGCGGAGGAGGTGAAATCGCCTGTCGCTGTGGATGCCACAAACCCTGCGGAGGAGGCGACGCGCTCTACGAATGCTGCCGCTGAGTCTACGGCTGCAGAGGCAAAGCCGGCTGAGGACGGCGCCGTAGCCGCCTCTGATGTGACTGAAGGTAAAGCGCCATCGCCTATGAATTGACAAAGGACATGCTAACAAGGTTGCCTATTAGCCTCAGACGACAAAGACAACCAGGAGAATGCCGCCGCGAAAGATGATGTCACCGCTGATGCGCAGGCTGAGCCCACTGCGGCTAGCGACGATACGGGTAAGTAAAAGAAAACGTTCCTTCATGGAGGTGATACAACGACAATTTGTGGTTTGCTTTCATTTACTGACACATTTCCATAGAAGCTGCACCTGCCTCTGACGCGCCCGCGACAAATGGTACCCCCGCGCCTAAGAAAGTAGCAAACGGCAAGCGCAAGGCAGCCGCTGGCATTCCTGAGCACAAGAAGAAGACACCAGCTAAGAAGGCAAAGAAGGCTCCTGAGCTTCGCTTGAATGTGTCGCCTGGGGACATGCACATGGTTGCTATGCGCGGTTACCAACCATGGCCAGTCATTGTGTGTGATGAGGAGATGCTTCCCGAGTCACTTCTTAGCAAACGTCCTGTCAGCGCTAGGCGCATTGACGGAACATACCGAGAAGACTTTCTTGAGGGTGGCAAGAATGCCAAAGACCGACGATACCCTATTATGTTTCTGGGTACCAATGAATTGTGAGTCATCAGTGGTGCGCTTTATATGTTGTTTTTGCTAATCAAAGTCAATAGTGCGTGGCAAGTCAACACTGATTTGTTGCCGTTTGACCTTGAAGAAGTTAAGAAGGATGTCGAGACCGGCAACCAAGGGAAACGGAACAAGGCTCTTTGGGAAGCATACCAAATTGCTGCCGAGGGCCACGATCTGGCATACTTCAAGGAAATGCTTTCTGCCCATGAATCAGCGATGCAGGAAGATCTCGAGCAGCGCGAGCAGAAGCAGCAACAGAAAAAGGAGAAGGCTGAAAAGGCTGCCAAGCGCAAGAGCACAGCCGTTGACTCTTCGGAAGATGTTGACATGGAAGACACTGGTGATGCCGCTCCGTCCGCTAAGAAGGCCAAAGCCACAAAGAAGCGCAAGAAGGACGACGAGAGCGATGCCGAGAGCGGAAAGGTATGCATAGCATTTGCAAATTGACCTGCGTCGACTAACTGAGTAACAGCCTGCAAAGACTCCCAAGACAAAACTCAAATTGACAACAAAGACGCCGAAGGAAGCATCTGCCGCCAAGCCGAAGAAGGAGCCCAAGTCCAAGAAGAAGGCCAGCGAAGAGGCGGAGCCTCCTGTACCCGAAGAGCCACCCATGACCGAAGAAGAGCGATTACAGAAGCGCGAGAAGCAGGTTCTCTACCTCAGACACCGTCTACAGAAAGGCTTCCTGTCGCGCGACCAAGCACCCAAGGATGAGGACATGACGAACATGTCTGAATATCTGAAGCAACTTGAAGCCCATGAGGATCTTGAAGCCGAAGTTATCAAGAAGACCAAAGTCCACAAGGTTCTCCGGGCTATCATGAAACTTGAGACGATCCCACTGGAGGAGGACTTTGCCTTCAAAAAGCGTTCCACTGAGCTTCTTACCAAGTGGAGCGGGGCTTTAGCATCCGATCCTGAACCAGCTGGTGCCAACGGTGTCAAGAATGAAGAGCGCGAAAAGTCTGAATCCGCCAAGTCCGCACCAGCTGTAGAGAAGGTCGCTGAAGAGCAACAAAAAGACGATGCTGCGTCTGAAACTGCAACTACAAAAGCAGCCGATGCGGATGGCGACGTCGCCACGACAGAGGCAAGCACAGAAACCGGCAAGGATGCATCCGAAGAGGCTGCCGATAAAGCCGCTGCTGGGTCTGAGACTGAGAAGGTTGCAACCATGGATGTCGTTGTGGCTCAAACAACAACGTTGCCTGAGTAAATAAGGGAGCCTGGACGCTCTTTCTTCCATTCCCGCAACAAGCATCTTAGTGTGGCTTGAACATATTGTTTCAGTGTCACGGTGGGTTTTGCTGGCTTTGATGGGCAAGCCTACGGAGCGCGCATATGGAGTAATTGTACTGGCATGTAATAGCTGACACAGATTCGGGCAACCATGTCATCTCTGTGCGGAGCAAGCTGAGTGATGATGGTTATTGAGGCTCGAGAACGGAGGCGTGGGATTATTTTTGCGGCATTCGTCCGCGTTTATGGGCGGCTCCCGTAAGAAACGGCAGCCAATTGAGTAAAAACTGTCTTAGTAAATTGAACAAATAAATATCATCAACCCCCAGATGTAATACGCGTGTTCCTCGGTGCTTGCATATGCTTATGGCTTGCGATTGTGAACATTACACCTCGCTCCTCCAGCATGTGTTGTCCTGTACACCTAGGTGGCGCGTCGCGTTCAATGCCCCACTATCATTATGACGTCTGGGGTCGAGCTCCATAACAAAACCGTCGAACCGGAAAGTTCACAACGTCATTCCAACAACACTCAAATTCTCATCTTAATCCATTATTCGACATCCAATTCCACCCACGAAAGAAAAGCTCAAGATGGCCGGCGCATCAAGGAAAGATCTTCTCAAGAAGGTGTACAATATGGTACCACCAATGCTTGAGAGCTTCCACAAGGGTACGATGGGTTGAATTGATGGTTTTCTCAGTCTCTAATTGTGCAATTCCAGGTCAATTGGGTCGGGTAGCTGTCATTGGTGGTAGTGAAGATTACACTGGCGCACCCTACTTCTCAGCCATGGCTTCCGCAAAGCTAGGTTGCGATATGGTACATACCCATCACCAATCTTCCGGCTGAGAGAATCGCTGACGTTGCTTTAGTCTCACGTAATATGTGAACCAGGTGCAGGCGCTGTGATCAAGACCTACTCTCCTAACCTGATGGTACACCCGTACATGCGGCAATCCAAGAACCTAGGTCAATCTGAGAGTGCCGAAAGCGTCAGTGCAGAAGTCATTGGCATGCTATCACGACTCCATGTCATCGTCATCGGCCCCGGTCTCGGCCGTGATAAGCTCATGCAAGACACCTGCGCAAGAGTCATCGAAGAGGCCAGGAAACAGGGTATTCCGTTCGTGTTGGATGCAGATGGTTTGTACCTAGCGCAGACGCGACCGGAGCTTGTGGAAGGCTGCAAAGAGTGCATTCTCACACCCAATGTGGTCGAGTTTGGTAGACTAGCCAAGGCAAAGGGCGTCAATGTTGACGAGGGAGACCCTTCGGAACTGTGCTCCAAGCTGTCCAAGGCCTTTGGTGGTGTTACCATTATTCAGAAGGGGTCTAAGGACTACATTTCCAACGGCACACACACACTCGTCTCGGATGGTGAGGGCGGCTTGAAGCGCTCTGGTGGTCAGGGTGACACTCTGACAGGTAGTCTGGCGACACTGCTGGCCTACCGGAAGGCATATCATGACAAGATTTGGGATATTGGCACTGAGATGTCAAGGAGCGAGACACTGGCTCTTGCGGCATTCGGCGGCTCATGCATTACAAGGGAGTGCTCCAAGTTGGCTTTCAAGGAAAAGGGCAGATCGCTGCAGGCCAGTGACCTGACGGATCATGTCCACACTGCTTTCCTCAACATCATCGGGGAGAGGGAGGAGACTCCGATGTTGTAGACACGTAGGGGTGCTGCAAGATGGAATTCTGTGGGCGTGTGACTTGACTGTAACGTAATGAAAAACTACAATGAATACTTGCAATAAGAAGATGCTTCTATTAGTATACTCCACTTTCGAAAGGACGCTTTGTAAAGTTATAGCAGTAGCCATACATCGAGATCAAGATTCTAGATTGGTATCATGACAAAGTGAGCAAGGAGTAAATAAACAGTCGAAATAATACATAAGAGTAGCGGAGTGTCCCGAAGCTCATGGTTCAAACACCCCATAATTACTGTAGTCCATCTATGAGAAATTGAAGACTAAAAGAAAAGAGAACATCCTGATTTCATCATCATAATCTCGAACCTGCCTTGATTCTTCGTGGAAATTTGCCTAGACAAGCGATCCTCCAAGTACCCAGACCTCACCGTTGGAGACCTTATCGGCGATACTGGTAACTTCGATGTTCGCAGGCTGGATCTACATGGCTGTTAGCTTCTGATTTGACAAAAACGCCGAGCAACGCCACAACGAGAAAAAAAAGAACGCCAAATGACCCGCCCAGCGGAAACGACGACTCCAACCCCGAAGAAGGAAAAAAAAGAACCTGGGATATCTGACTGCTGCCAGACGAATGCTGATGAGAGTGGGACTCGAACCCACGCCACTTTCGTGACCAGGAATAATGATGTTAAGATAACCTTAACCTGGCGCCATAACCAACTCGGCCATCTCACCAATTGTTTTGGTTGATTGATGGAAGTTTGGCCAGTTGCACCGAATATGTTTGTGCAGAAACCAAGCGGGGGGAAACGAACAGCCGCCTGCGTAATGGTGGGGCAGTTCCAACGCAGTGCCTGGGGGACTACTACTGGGACTGGCGGGGGGCTTGGGCTAAGAAACCTACGTACCTTTTTCTGACCGTCCTTGGACTCCCACCAGACCTCGTTGCCGGCAAGCGTCTTGACTTTCTTGCCCTCTTCCCAGGGACTCTCGGGTACAATGTGGCGCTGAACGAAGCGCTCGAGGTTGGTGCGGGCGCGGTCTTCTCCGCTGGCGCCGGCGTACGCGTTGTCGCCGAGCGTCTTGTAGTCGTCTGCGTCTTCCCAGGGCTTGCGCTTCAAGTCGCGCATGACGCTGTTGTGAGGCGCGAGGACCGTGGCGTTCTGGGCTGCGTCGTCGAGCCGCCCAGACACCGAGTCGATGTCCCTGGTCAGGCCGCTGAAAATGGCGATTTCCTGTGTCTTGCCGATGACATCGGATATGATGACGCCCGTAGAGACCTGGCCCTCTGGTTTGCTCATGATGTAGTCTCGAAGCGGCGACTGCGCGGTGATGGCGTGGAGCGACTGCACGATGCTGTCAAAGGGGCGGGACTCGGCCGAACAGGCGAAGATGAGGGTGATGGTTGCAAGAGGATATGTGAAGAGAGATTGGGCCTTCATGGTGGCTTTAGGTGGGGTGCATTAGGCTGTCGATGTTCTTGTTTGTGAACGCGGCGGTTGCAGTCGGCGGCGCACACGTCATGCCGCGGTGAAGCCAAGACCCCGTGATCGCGTGAATGATCGCCGGGCGCCTCTTGGGAGCTCGGGGCCCCTTCACTCTTGCACTGCACTCATGTCTTCGCCAACGTGAAATTCCGCGCCTTTGAGCGCGTCTCTTATCGCCTCACTTCGCCACACGGACAATGACGGATATGGAATTTCAGGTTCCAACAGTCACGATTGTATGTGCAGTGGATGTTTCGGTCTGCAGGTTTGTGCTAATAGCGTCAGGATGATCTCCTGGCTTTCCACGCGCAGCATTTTCCTCACGCGCCGACGCCTCAATATGTTCTTCATGGCGTGCAGCATGATGCCGAAGCGACAGAGGAATACTATGATGAAGCAGATGACGGCTTGGGCTACTATCCCGACGGCACCAAGCGCACCTTGACTGATGAGCAAATCGCCATGTTCCGACACTCGGAGATCCAAGCCATCCTTCGCAAACGCCGGTTGCAGAAAGAGAATGGCGAATCCGTTGAGCGCACATCTCTGTCCGAAAAACCGTCCCTCGATGTCGCCAGCCCAATGCAGGTGACTCCAGCTGCGCAAGAAGGCTCTGCACATACGACGAATGGTGCTCAACAGGCGCAGACTAAGGAGCAAGGCCCACAGAATAAGCAGCAGTGGGCGACAACTAGTACAAAGAGCAAGGCCAAGGCAAAGAGGAAGAGGGATAGATATGCGAAGAGAAGAAAAGAAGTGAGGCTGCAGAAGGGCCTTCCCAGACGAAGGAGCGGCCGCAACGGTGCTGACAGCGGCTACAGTGATGACGAGAGTGATGAGTGGGACCCGTGGCACCAGGCGAACGGACCGGATGTCCAGAAGGATGATGCCCTGGATCTGGATTATTGAGCTGGATGGCACAGGCAGTAGCCGTCTTTTTTTGGGGATGAAGTTGTCAAGTCACATCCATCCCCGTGCAATCCTTTGCAACAATACTGGTAGCACATGTATTGACACCCACCTGTAAGCCTCCCCCCTTTTTTTCCTTTCCTCAAATCCACATGCAATGATGAAACTTCGTATCGTCATCCTTAGGCGGAGACGGCGCGCTGGGCTTGAGACGAGAGTGAAAGACTTGCTCTTGCGGTCTGATCTCTCGACTCGTCTGGCCCTGTCAATGGCGAGTTGAAAATCTTCTCTCTGAGCACTTTCTTCACCGATTTTCGACTGCTGAACTTGGCTGTTTGCAACTGGACACTAATCTGGATACTAGGCAGCCGGTCTTATGTGCCTGAAACGAGCATGCGTACCAGTTGTAAGTGTTGGGACTTGGTCGTGGTGGTCCTATTCATGAGGTAGATGAGATGGTGTCTCATCAACTTGGGCTTCTTCTGTTCAGAATTTATCATTCGGGGATGTTGTATATAGCTTAGCAGCCTATTCTTAGTTACAGAATACAACTAGAGAGACTACTCAAATAACGCAAAATTTGATTGATATGTTACTAGAAGGACAGTGCTACGTATCCTCTAATGGGTATAGACGCCGTTCGGCAAAGTAGCTTCTGCAAGTTGCCTAGCAATCCCAACCAAACCTAGGATTCTTATACAAAACCCTTCCATACATATATTTAAAAAACCCCTTCACGAATAAGATTGTGTTTGTTCAAAGTTGTCTCCCTTTTCCATATTCACTGCATGGAAGAATGGACGCTTGTTGGATTTGACACTGCTTTGTGACAATTTGGTGAACGTTCACTGGCGCAGCCCATGACGCTAATAACAGATTCACCTTCATTTCCGCACCATACGCACGTGCTTCAACTTTCTAGTGTATCTATAACCTTCTATATATTTATTTCTGCTTCCCCCACTCGAATATTCTGAAAACCCAACAACAACTCCGACAATCGAATCCGGTATCGCAACTTATCAAAACAATCTCGTCGAGACCGTATCTATCAAGATGTCAGGCGCTCTTACTTTCCCCGAGGCTTTTGCTCAAAAAATGCCATTGGAGCTCAAACAAATGGTCTTCAATCAGATAGCAATCGGCGACACCAATGACATCGAGATCAAGCTTGCGGATGAATATAGCCAGACACTTGAATCACCAGTCCTTGACCTCTTGGCAGACCTGAAGAGGTGGTACCCGGAAGACGTGTACATTGCAGCCATATACTATTTCACTGGTCTGCAATTCCGATGGGTTTTCGTCAGCGATCACGAGCCGTATCGGAAACTTTTCAGGATCTTCCGCAAGCAGATCCCCATCGAGGTCAGAGAGCGAATCAAACACATCTACCTGCGACGAGTTAGATTGGCAAGCCTTATGAATCAAGTCCAACTGCTTTTCAACAGCCTCCCTCATTCCGACGAGACACAACTTCCTCATATATCAGACTACCCTCGTTATCTTCAACCTATCGTCGAAAAACTCCCGCAGGTCCAGGGCTTAGACATTTTTCATGCAATTTTGCTCGAAATTCGAAGCGCAATGCTATTATTGCCGCACGCAATACCCTCGCTCGACAAACTTGACCTTGGTCTTGAGATATCCGATTGTCTGATCACCCTGCACAGCCAGGGTAAACTTTACAGATATTCGCGTTTTATTAGTCAAGATACAGGTACGAACGCTATAGATGGGCTCGTAATTACCCTCTCGCCTCTCAAGACCATTGCCAATATATCTCAACTCAACATCCGAATCATCTGGGACAGCAATCTTGAGCACGACACCAAGCGTATCAAGATCACTGATAAGAAAGAAGAATACACAAAGAACTCCGTTATCAAGGCGTTGCACAAGGAGATTCCTGCAAAATCTATTACTGGTCATGTCTAGGACTGAACATGTACCACGGGATACAGGCCTGACTCCGTGGCTTACTTGGAGCAGAACGAGATGCTGTTTGGCTGTGCTTGGAAATTGAAAAGGCTGTGAGATGTATAAGCCGAAATATGGCGCAAGGCTATATATGAAGTGATGGAAAATAGTCGAGACATCTGTTGTTTTTGTTCTTGTTGTGTGAGAATTTGTCTATCGGCTTTTAGGTGCTTTTTCCCTACATTTACACCTATCTCTCGAGCGCCATAAGCTCGAACATGAGGAGATGAAAGCAAAGATAAATGCGACAAAAGATATGGGATGGATGAATATAGTGATTGTACTTGGTGTGGTGCCTAAACACAGCTGAATAGGCACCAACAAGTAGTAGTAGTAGTAGTAGTAGTAGTAGTAGTAGTAGTAGTAGTAGTAGTAGTAGTAGTAGTCAGTTCTCAGAAGATATTAGCGATAAATACGAGAAAAACAGCAGATATTGCCTCGCCCCTTTAAATTATACGTAGCTTCTGCATTAACAGTGGGACTTAAGCAGCGCACGGCTAGCACACTGATGTTTGCTTGGGTGACGTGATATCAGACTTCACTTCACCATCACCGTGCCTGTTTCCCCGTGCAACGCACGGTGCCCCACTAATCAGGCATCATCCCCAGTGACGTTCTGTTGCGCTCTCCCACTACAAAAACCCCACCTAGTCCTCTATCCCACTCCCTCCGGTGGTTTCCCACATCAACCCGCTCGCCAACAAGTCGCCGCCGACAGTACTATGGCACGCTCAACCACTACTACCACTGGGGGCAAGACCTCGAAGTCAAAGAATGCTCCCGCCGACAAGAAGAGCAAAGACAAGGTCGCGAAGCGGCCTGCACGCGGATACCACAAGTTCAGAAATGGCCTGCTTAACGTCACACCCAAGGGCGGGGAGAAAGAACTGTAAGTACTTGGATGGCTACTGTGGTTTGGGAGAAGGAACTAACATTTAACAGTGTCAAGGCAAATCAGCAATCGCCACTTCTGCGTCTGCCGGCTGAGGTACGAGAATGAGTGTGGATTGAACAGGCAGTACATGCTGACTCTATAGATCCGCACCATGATATGGAATTTCGCGCTCGGTGGAATGGTCTATAGGCCACGCGAGATATCTGCCAGATCTTTTTGTCTCAGGTCTTCGATCAATGTTTCCAAAGGAATCTCTCTTCTGCGAGTATGCCGTCAAATCTACGCGGAGGCTGCTGAAATCCCGCTGCGAGAGAGCATATTCTCCTTTGAGAGACTTGAAGACGACATAAAGAAGACTCTCAATAACCTCAAGAGGCACCAGCGTAAGCTCATTACTAAGTTACAAATCGAAATCTCTGAGGACGATGCTTTGACCAGCTGGGGTGCATTTAGAGCACTGGTGTATTTGGCAGGCCGAGAAGGTCAATCTTATCTTCCCGGGCTGAAAGAGGTGACTCTGCGCATCTTCTCTGTATCCATTGATCAGGTTACCAGGCAGGAAGCTGAGGATGAAGTACGCAATGACGTGAAGGATCTGTCAGGCAAGACATGGTTTGATGTAAGAGTTGAAAGGACGGGAGTGAGCTTGATAGCCTATGATAATGCGTAAGTCCTAAGTATAGTGCACTGATTTATCTTAGACTGATACCGATATAGGTTCTATGGCCGTTTTGAGCGTGACCATTACTGCGGATAAGATGCTGAATGAGTATCCTCGTCACATGATTGTGCTGGATAAGGTCATTCGTGTTAACGGTAATGGTAACATGGCCGGGCACCATAAGCGTCAATGCACATGGCTGCGCCCTAGCCATTGAATACCCGGGATGGCCACGGACTGAAATTGACTGTATTTTGATATTGGGGCAGGATTTGCGATGTGGTATTGAGGATCATGAAATTCTCTGGAGTTCAGGCTGGCTTTTGCATGACATAGAGTTCACAACAGGCTGAGATATTGGAGTTAGTACAGGAAACGATGGAATCATGATAACGGATGTCTTTTACTTGCTACAAGCTCTCTGAATTCAATTATCACTCCTTTGTCACTTTCTCTCACCCAGTAACAAAGCTGCCTTTACCTGGCTGCACGGTCGCGTGGGATTTCAACTATATAACGGCTCCGAGATCTCTTCCACCTACTTTCCACTTTCTCTACACTCCACACACTACTTACCACCCACCACCCCAAGCATGTCGCCACAGAAAGCTACGAAAAACAGAAAGAACATGGCCTCGAATGCCACGACAGCATCCACAGGAGCAGGAGTCGCCAAGCGTCGTTACAAGAAGGTCCGGTTCCACGCCAACGGTCTCTTGGATGTTGGGCGAAAGACTGGCAAGTACTTCAAGATGTAAGTGCATGCATTTTGTTTAATACCAATAATATCTCATTGTTGGGGTTATAGGGCACAGCAGAATCAGCGCGACTCGCCTTTGCTACGCCTACCTGCTGAGATTCGCAACATAATCTTCGCGTACGCCCTTGGTGGTCACGTTTTCGATACGCTTCGTATAATAGCACATCACTATGGCACGGCAGTCGCAAAAGAACAAAAGTTATCGCCCTTACTTGCTGTCTGTCGCCAGATATATAGCGAGACTGCGTTGTTGCTATACAGCCTCAATACGTTCTCAGCTACACGTGCCGTATATGTCAATGAATGGGTCAACCGCTTGGGGCCGTCTCGGCTCCAGGCAGTCTCAAAAATCCAGTTCATAACTACGGTTACGGTATTGCCCGCAGCCACCAGCCAGAACGACTGGATTTTGTGTCCATGTACGAATTCATCTGGTTTTGCACTGAGCGAGCAGCTTTTATCTTCAAAAGTATGCACCCAAGGCAATGTACAGCTGGTCATTATCACCGAATTTCACCCCACAACAACTGAAGACTACCGTGCAGTGGTTACACAGGAGGCGCGTGACTGCATGGTCAAACTCTTCGAGGACAACAACAAAGGTCTCAAATTCACTGTGGAACTAACGGATTTACCCTGGCTTTGGGATGAGTCAGAGGAAGAAGACGAAGAGGAGGAGGAGGGTGACGACGATGACGACGAGTAAGCTTCATCCTCCCCCGTTCTTGCAATCACCCACTAATTACTCAATTAGATAGCCACCCAGCATTCAGCACGCGACTTTCCGAAGCCCCTTTCTATCCCTACTATTACTGATCTCTTACTCCAAAAGTATTTATCTTTCTTATATATGGTTTTCAGAATTTCCTAGCACGGGTCAAAACAAAGCAAAATGGTCGGATCAAACTGCATTCTATGGTTCTTCGATATCTGCATTCAATCATTTCCAAAATTGCAAATATGAGGATACGGGAAACCTGGGCTTCATCATGTACATGAGACACATAGCTTAGTGGAGAAGAAAAAGTTTGGATTTTGATAATATTTGTGAAATGTGTGAATAAACATTGCTACAGCCCGTGACGTTGCTGGAAAGGGATACAGTTTTAGTTGCTAGGATATAGTACCGGTGCTACTTCTTCCTGCTATATTACACATTTATCATATATCCATTAGCTCTCTATCTCGGCTTGTTGTGTTCTCGCATAGATTTTTACTCTATATCAACAATGAAGTTGTGTATCAATGACGTGGGTACCACTACCCCACCTTTTAGCGGCTTCTTCTCCTCCTTACACCCCGGCCGCGCAACACCGACGCTGCTCAACAATAATGGTAGCGAACACACCGGTGCCGGTAATATATCCGGTGCCTACTTTTCTGATCCAGACATACTAAAAGATGCAAGCAGATGCGTGCTAAGCACGCGCTTGTGACTCATGAAGACGCCCGCTCGCTGGCGACCCGCCTTAAACCCGTCCCGGGCCTAACGTCGACACTAACCATGCAGGCAATCACCAGTATCTCGTCAGCCGCAGTCTTTCTTTTCTTCTTCTTCTTCTTCTTCTTCTTCTTCTTCTTCTTCCCCATCCTTTTGTTGCTTCAGTTTCAGGCTTATTGAAATTGTACACTTTCACCGACTACGGGCGTCTTGATCCAGGCTGTTGTGCGCTCTACCAGCACACAGTCCAGGATTGCCACCATGGCCCCCACTGTCATGTCGCGCATTACTCGCTTCCTTGGTATTCAATCCCTCAATGCAACAGGGCGAGATGCGTACATCATCATAACACTGCGTTCCTTGCGCATGTTCACTGCCGGCATTCCCAGTCTCATTCTGGCCCTCTTCTTCGCCTCGCTCGAATTTCCTGACTCGAGGATCGGAATCTTCATGACGTTAACGCTGCTCGGAGATGTCATGCTTTCGTTGCTGCTTACCCTCGTGGCAGATAAACTAGGAAGAAGAAGGATTCTGTTCATGGGCAGCGTAATGATGGCTTGCTCGGGTGTCGCGTTTGCTCTCTCGGAAAACTTCTGGATCCTCTTGATCGCAGCCGTCTTTGGTATTATTTCCGTCACCGGTGCTGACTGTGGTCCGTTCAGGGCGGTCGAAGAGAGTATCCTGAGTGGGTTGACTGACGAGAAGACGAGGAGTGATGTCTTGTCGTGGTATGTAACAGCGACCACCATGGCTGGAGCCATAGGAGCAGAGGTTGCCGGAAGAACAGTGCACGCTCTTGAGAAGAGCAGTGGCAACATCACTAAAGCATACCATGCTCTCTTCTGGGGATATGCAGCATTTGGTTTACTCGGTAGCGTCTTGTGTCTGGGCCTGAGCCGCAGATGTGAGGCTGCTGGCGAGAAACATGCTGAAATGAAAGAACGAGGACGAAGCGGTGGTGATGGCGAAGAGGAAGAAGTTCTCCTGGAAGCCATGACACCAAGCACCACCGATAATTTTGATCACGACGATGAAACTTCAAGAAGACGTGAAGATCTCAGAGTTCCACCATCGCCTAAAAAGCAGAGCTACTTCAGCCAAATTTCGAAACCCACGCGGTCAATCATGTACAAGCTCTGGATCCTTCTCGGCATCGACAGCTTAGCGGATGGCATGACACCCTACTCACTGATGAACTACTATGTCGACCAAAAGTTTGATGTCTCCAAGTCTACACTCGGAGATATCACATCGGCCTCGCAGTTTCTCTGCGCGATCGGCGCCATTTTCGCCGGACCACTAGCCAAACAGATTGGTCTCATCAACACCATGGTCTTCACGCATCTGCCTTCGTCGATAGCCAGCGCTTTCATTCCCCTACCCTCAGGTGTGGGCTGGACAATCGGGCTGTTGCTTTTCCGAGCTTCTCTCAATAGCATGGATCAAGCTCCGCGCACAGCCTTCATTGCTGCAGTCGTCAAGCCAGAGGAGCGCACAGGCGTCATGGGTATTACGAGTATGCTGCGCACGCTCGCCATGAGCGTGGGCCCAACCATTACCGGTCTTCTCTCTGGCAGTGATAACTTCTGGTTCGCGTTCCTGGCGTCGGGTATCTGCAGGATCACCTACGATATCGGGCTGTGGATTCTGTTTGTAAATGTCAAAGTGGACAAAGATGCCGGAAGCGAGGAGGAAGATGCTGTTGAAGATGAAGACTGGGATGGCTTGCTCAGCGACACGGTCAGCGATGATAGCAGCGATGGAAGAAAGAGCAAGGATATTGAGAACGAAAGCAGAGTTTAGATTGCAGGCTCAACCATATCTCTAGATGGACTCGTATCACAAAATGAACCACCTCTTCATCGTTACCCTGTTACCATTTCTCCAAACTAGCACGCCGCCTTCTCAGCCCGCAGCAACGTGTCATTGCGATCATCGGTATACAACTGTACCTTGATACCACGCGCCTGTTTCCTCTTCTCACTCAGACTATCCTTGGCGCCAAACCTCTCTCGCGTCTGGGCATCCAAGCCATGGAACAGCGAAACTAGCGCACTACTCTTCCAAGCCTGGGTCTCTGACGTGTGCGTCATTGTCATGGCCGTGATCAAAAAGACCAGCGTCGCCAGCACCGCCGCAATCGGAAGCACCGAGAACCCCCATCGTACATGGACATACGACTCCACTGTAATCGACTTCCCCATTGTGGGCACCGCGCCCATGAAGCCGCGGAACGCCGTCGTCATGGACACGGCGAGATCGCTCATCAGCATGTTCAGCCCATCCGCGTACTCGTAGTAGTTCCAGTAAAACGCCGTCAGGATATCGGTGTCGAAGAAGGTTTCTCCAGATGAGATGCCCACGGTGAGATTGACGACAACAGCGCGATCCGGGTCGGTGACGCTGCGCGTGAAGTCGCTGGTAGTGCGTGTTGCGGAGCCGTTTGTGAAGATGGCGCTGAACCAGCCGCGGATACTCAGCATGGCGCCCATACCAAGCAGATACGCAGTGTCATCGGACTCGCCGTGGATGTAGACGCCGTAATCGGCATTGGGGTCCGGAGAACTCATGTCGAGCACAGTGGTGTTTGTGACGGAATGCGTGATGTTCTCCTGGTGCGTACCGTTGATCACCGCCGCGGAGATGGTGTTGACGCAGGCTTGCAGCGTGCATTGCTTGGCCCAGGGGTTGACAACATCAGGGCGGTCGTACGACTCGGTGCCTATGAAGACGAGCCGGATCATGGTGGAATACGGCATGTCGCCGTAGGCAGACGGGATAAAGGACGTCATGCTGAAGACGTCGGAGCTGGTGTTGAGCAGCGCGCCTTGCGGCACTTGCCAGCCACACGTGGAGATGTTGGGGGAGAGACCCAGCTCTGGCGGACAGTATCGCGTGATGAGGTTGCTGATGTCGGTGCATTCGTGGCATACGGCCAGGGACTCGAACGGTTCCCATGCGCAGTTGCCGCTTTGACATTGGAATTGCAGTGATGCTGCGGGTCTGTTGTTCTCTGCGAAGAGCCCGTTGTAGACGGCGGCCTTCAGGGGGAGAATAGGGACAAAGCCGGCTGTAGGGTGTCAGTAGGATATCTCGTGCCATACAGCCAGGGTCCTTACTAATAGTTGTGTTGCCCGGGAGGGCGCCAGTGAAGTTGAGGGCTCGAGGGATCGCGGCACCAATATCACTTTCAACAGTTCGGATTTTGTACGTTGCGATTTGCTGTGCAAAGGGTCCGAGAGCGAGACTGACAATGGCAACGATGGCACCAAATGAACCAAGTATTCTGGGTGAAAACATTTCAGTGATTGATCAGAATGTTTGGTCTGCATGGACATACCCTCCTCGAGCCGTTACAAGTAGCTTGGTAGCGCCCCAGGAGCCACGACTGGCTTCGTCAAACGCCTCCATATCTGACAGTGGCGTAGGCGCTTTTTTGAATTTAATCCACTTTGCTTGGGAGATGCCGCTTGAAAGACAGACTGTCATGGTGGCATTGGCAAAGGTAGCCAACAAAGCGATGAGTGCGTTGAGTGTGATATCATGAGGCTAGTCTGGTAAAGCTTGTCCGTTGTAACGAAATACGACTCCGATGATGGAGCCAACAGCGCCCAGAGCAACGGCAATAGCCATCATCTCGAATACCCAGGTGCGAGCACGGGATGGCTTGCGAGAAGACTGTTGACTAGATGTCTCTGAAGTGACGGCAGTAGTATGGGTCGACGAGCTCCAGTGCGCTTTGTGCCTGATGCTTTGTGGCTCACTAGACTGTGGACTTGGCTGCTCGTATTCGAAGCTGCGCACATCTTCCATACTGTGGTGAGCCAGCGGCGGGGGGCTGTAGCGTTCATCCAGTGGTTCAACTTGAACGTTTTGCTGCAGCTTGGGTAGCTGTTGGTACGCCATGATGAATTTGAACTAAGACAAAAAGTCGCCTCTGTAGAGTAGCCCGAAACAATCAAGGTAGGGACGACCAAGTGGCCTAGCCTCCACATGAATATGTAAGAAATAGTCGTGTTACTAAACAAACCATTTTTTCTCAGCCTTGCTCCCCCAAGCACGATAAGCTACAAGACGCCTACTCCAAAGGCGTGGTAAAGGATTACAGCGCGATACCTAGATGAGGATGCGTCCGTTTGGGGCTGAATTGAAGGCTGCTGAGAGCTGAAAACACGGCAGTTGTTCATTCGTCAGCCTTGCCGCCAAGGCTGGCTTCCACTCGCTCCAGGTGCCTCGAACAGTCAGGTTGCCGTAGATAAGCACGATAGCTCCGCATAATATATAATATCGAGTGCTGGGCATGCGCGCTGTCAGGTAGTGAGGGCAGAGGCGACATGCAATATGGGCAGCCTACTCGGAAGCCCTAGGACGAAAGCAGCAATTGGTATGGTTGCTTACTGGCTACGAGTCTTCTTACACAAGATACTCGGTATATTTAGATGGCCATGCCGACCCCACACTTTCAGCCCCAATTTCGGCCAAGACAGCTTGAACTGGCTTCGTGGGCTTAGCATGATAAGAGCATGCAGGCGATGGATGGCACTTCATATGGGCTCCGCGGGAAGTAAACTTGAGGGCTTCGCTTGTTTTTGCAGTCTTGGGTTGGAGTGTAATGTGGAGCATTGTATGAGCAAAAGGGTCCAGACCATGGACGTGGCAGTCCTAGATGCACGTGACATTTGACTTCACCGGATGCCAAGAAACCAAGACATTCCACTCTTACAAACAGCGGAGACTGTGCGTTTGTCTCGCCTAAGTATGTATGCGAGTAACGTGTTTTATCAGTAAGCGGCCCACATCAGTAAGTGGCCCACCCCACCAAACCTGACGCGATACTCTCCACAACCACCACTATGCCGCGACAACAACGCTCTGTACAGACTTCTCGTGAAGGTAGAGTTCTTCTAGCATCTCGCGCGCTTTAAGAAAAACGTGTTGTAAGCCAGCGCCAAGCTGCTATGCTATACGACGCTCCACGAACAACGCTCCGACGACGCCTCCGCGGTACCAAGCCACGATCAGAGACAGCCTCCGTCAATCGCAAGCTATCAGCTGTCGAAGAGCAGTCTCTTGTTCAATGGATCATAGAGCTAGATCGACGAGGCTTTCCGCCCCATATTATCGACGTGCGACGGATGGCAGACGCTCTACTCGCTGCGCGTGGCCAAGATCCACCTCCACAGCCTATTGGCAGATGCTGGGTGTCGCGCGTTTATCCAGA